GGGGGGGTTTAAGTTTTATGGTCAGCGCCCCCCAAAGAGGGGGTGTTAAAGAACCCCGCTTTACACCCCCCTTCCGGATCCCCGCGGGGGTTTGGGGGGGGGGGTAAACCCCCCCCGCCCCCCCCCCAGGGGGGGAACACATACGGGAACAATGGGGGCCACGGGCCACCAACTACCCCCACCACCCCTATTTACCCCCCCCCCCCTTTCCCCCCCTCCCCCCCCCCGCCACCCACTCTCTCCTCTCCTCTCCGACTCAGCAGCTCCGCGCCGGCGTCCGACTCCGACTCGTACTCCGACTCGTACTCGGGCTCGTCCTCGCGCGCAGGGCCACGGAGCAAGAGCCGCAGCCGCAGCCGCAAGAACCGCAGCCGCAGCCGCGAGAGCCGCAGCCGCAAGAGCCGCAGCCGCAGCCGCAGCCGCAGGGAGAGTGGCCGCTCCCTGCGCGGCGGCGACGGGGGAGAGCGAGGAGAGCCTCGCATCGGAGGAGGAGAGGCGCGCGCGGCGGCGGAGAGCGCGCGGGAGAGTGCGCCGGGTGGGAGCGGGAGGCTGGCGGTCGAGCACAAGGGCGAGATGGAGATTGAGGGCAAGTACCGCGAGATGCTCGCGCAGAGCGCGGGCAAGGGCGCCTCCTCGTGGCTCGCGGCGGCGGCCGAGCGCGCGGCGGCGGCGAGGGAGGTGCAGCTGCAGCGGGAGGCGGCGCTGGCCGAGGGGCAGGCCTTGCAGGCACACGCCATGTCGATGTCGATGGGCGCGAGTGCGGCTCTGCACCCCGTACTGCAGCAGCACCACCACCAGCAGTACCAGCAGTACCAGCAGCATCCTGGGCAGGCGCTGCTGCAGCGCCTGCAAGCGTCCCGTGCAGCGACGTTGGCGGCATTCGGGCCGGCGGTGCCGTCTCTGTATGTCGCGCAGCCGCAGCTGGCGCAGCAGCCACAGTCTCAAACGCCTTGTGTCGCCGCGCCACCGCAGCAAGGAGGGGCGACCCCGACGCTGCCCGTCGGCTGGCACAAGCTGTGGGACCCAACACACAAGGCATACTACTACGCAAACCCCACCACCGGATCGACGTCGTGGACGGTGCCTGCGCTCTCTTGACGCATTGATCGTGTTGGCGTCATGCGGAACCGCGCCCTCGCGTCCATGCCTCATTTTCGGCTCACTACTTCCCTCTTGCTCCGCCCAGAGTGCTACGGCTACCGTCGGAGGGTGTGGAAAGTGGGATATTGTGCGTGTTTTTTTGGCGTCTCTGTCGGGTTTTCGTGTCCCGTGTCAACGTTCTTCACAAAGGCCTGGCGCAACACACGGCCTGGCGCGTCACACGCGCGCCCTCGGGTCTCGGACATGCCCGTGTCCGGCGGTGTTCCACTTCAGCCCCAGCCCGGAGTGCGGTAGACGGAAGTGGTAAGAGATCATCTAACCAAACCTAGATCACACTCGTACGGCTTCGGCACGTGCGTCAGGGCCAGCAGGTTGTAGCATCTCCGGCCGCGCAGCGAGAAGAGCCAGCTCGCAGCCTCGTGCGCCGCCTTTGCGATTCGCCGCTGCTTTTGCAGCGGCATGCGCTGCACTCGGCGAACCGTCTCGGGCAACTCGTCGACAGTAGTCTGCACATAGTGCCTCCCCGATACGAGCAGCGGCTCGAACCACTGGTAGTAGCTCAGCCGCTCCCCCGCAGCACCAGGCGAGAGGTCAGCTGATGAGGCTGGCTCCCGCCGGTAGCCGCCCACCCGCACCACCAGCTTGCCGCGGGCCAGCGCGTCGCCAAAGATTGAGGCATACGAGTTGCCGTCAATCGCGAGCACGCAACCGTCGGCGAAAACGTCGTCGTCGGACGCGCCGCGCTGGCCTGGCGGCGCGAAGAGCTGCGCCAGATTGCCCCCAAAGGAGATGGTCCCGTCCCTGACCTGCATGACCGGTTCATCCCACTTCACCCCGCGCAGTCCCTGGTTGACAACGCACTGCCGATCCGTCTCGTTCTGCAGGCATGAGCGGCGGCCGCGTGTCGTCCAGCTCTGGAGCAGCGCGTCGCCTGAGTGCGAGCCGCGCCAGCGGCAGCGCAGCCGAGGCGGGAAGGAGAAAGGCGGCTGCCAGTCTGCTAGCCTACGCCCGCGGCCCCGGCCTCGGAGGGGCTGCTCCCACTGCTTTGGCTCGAGCGGGAGGAGCACGCTCTGGGCCAACGATCCGTCGGGCGAGGCGCTGGACTCGACGGCGACCGCCCGGCTGCCGTCGGGCAGGACGCACCAGCTGTTGTCGGCCGTGAAAATGCTCACATTCAGTGGCGGCGGCCTCGCCCATCGCAGGATTTGGTCGAGCCACCTGATGCGGATCGCGTCGATGTACTTGCGGCCGGGGTCAGGGATGTAGACTTCCCGCCCGCCACGGAGGCCGTATACGCCGCTCAAATTGAGCAAGCTTGTCCTCGTCACACTGATTGCATTCCCGTCCCAGTGCACGCATGCCTCACATGTCGGAAGCCTGAACGTGTTGGACGGGAGGCGGATGGATGGCCAATTCGCTAGTGATGCGCGTGCCTGGGACACCCGCGCCAGCAGAATATCGCGCGGATGTACGATGCCCGTCGCATTCACCGCGGCCTCAAAGTACTGGTTGCACAGCTCCTCGGTAGCCTCGGCCTTGCCAGGCCCAAGCATGGCAGTACACGCACCTCTTTGTGCATGCAAGCAACCCCACAGAACTTGAGCCCCCCCCCCCCCCCCCCCCCCCTTCATCAGAGAAACAGAAGAGTGATCGGGCTCACAGAGGCAGGAGGTCGCCCGGCCGGGCGCCGGCCCCTCTCGAGAGCTATCTGGTAAAGCCCACCGAATCAGGCGCCCGTGAGCGCCGTGAGCGAACACCTCAGTCACCTGTCGCCGGCCTCTCAAGAGTCTTCTCCTGGGCGACCTCCCTTCACGCCTCTCGAGGCCGGAAAGGAGCTGGCGCCCCGCAAATTGTCGCGGTCGTCGTCTTGGTGAAACACTCAGCGTGTTCGAGGACGTTCGCCCTGGTGCCGAGGACGGCGGACGAGCAGGTGCGGCACCGCGAGTAGCCGCCGTTGAAGCCAAAGTCGAATGCTGGGGGATGGGGGGGGGGGCCTCGGTGCACAGGCGGGAGGCAGAGATATGAGGAGGGGGGAGGGGGGAGGGGGGGGCGGGGGAAGGGGAGGGGAGGAGGAGAGGCGGGACGGGAGCCGACCCGTGCAGAAGCAGTCGTTCTCGCACTTTGCCCATGCACGCCTCCTTGGACGCCTCCTTGGGGGGGCTCCGATCTCCATCTCTCCAGTACTCTCCAATCTCCAGCGTCGCTACATCTTGGGCCGGATCCAAACAGATCTCCGATCTCCATCTCCAATCTCCAATCTCCAACGTCGTCATCTTAGGCCGGATTCAGTCAGATCTCCGATCTCCATCTCCAATCTCCAATCTCCAATCTCGATTCGGGGGCCCGGGGGAGGAGGGGGGCTCAAACCTTCAAGGAGATGCGCTATGGATTCATTCACACTGACCATCGTCTCTCTCTCCAACCTCCAATCTTCTACTTGGCCACTGTCGCCGCCGGCAGCAATCTACGACCTCCATTTTCAATCTTCGATCTCACATCTGGGGCGGATCATGGCTGGGCGCTAGGATCTACAATCTGCATTCTCCATCTCCTATCTCCACATTTTGGCCCGTGAGCCGTGTTGCTGCTCAGCGATCTGCAATCCACAATCTCAATCTTCGATCTTTAGTCTTGTGAATCATGGGAACCGGACAGGAGGGATCTACTGGCGAGATACTTGGGCCTTGGGCTAATGCCTCATGGGCGTGTCCGTGTGAGAGATCCGCTAGGTATAGGATCTCCAGTCTTAATCTACTCTAGTCAAGTTGGTAGTTGCTTCTTACTTTGTGACTAAAACTAATCTCTCACCCAACGATCTATTAGTTTTGGGTAGAGATGTCCATAACTCGCGAAAGCTTGCAAACGACAACAGTCCCACTGTAATGAACAAGACCTGCTCTTTTCAACAGCTCCCCTTTCTGAAAGCTTTCTCCCGCCCCCACGACACTCGAGACATGCACTGCACCCTACACGTACATGTACGACAGACAGCATCTCTCTCCACCTGGCCTTCAACAGCCCCACCCGCAGCCCCCCGTGGCGAGGCCTCGCCCGGACCCCCTCGCTCCTCCAGGCCGCCGAAGAGAAGCTGGCGTGCAGCCTAGGGCAGGTCCAGGCACCCCGCCGTCCGATCGTAGCACACGGCGGCGTCGAGGATGCTCGCCTCGGTGCCGACGATAGTGGACGAGCAGATTCGGCAACGGGCGCGGGAGGCGTCGAAGCCGTAGTCGAAGCCTGTAGGGGCGAAGAATGAGCTGTGAGAGGGGGGGACACGGAGGGGAGCGAGCGCATGCGCGGCGGAGAGGGGGGGAGGGGGGGCGCACCAGTGCACTTGCAGTCCTGCACACAGGTTAGCACGCACTTCTCCTTGGAGACACCCCAGAGCTCGTCGCACTGGCCCTCAACAAAAGAGCAGACGCCGGCCGCGGGGCCAACCTCCACGAAGGATTTGGCGAGCAGCCGCCTCACAGATTTCTCCTTTGGCGGCGGGTGCGGCGGCGATGGCGGCGGCGACGGCGGCGGCGGAGAGGGCGGCGGCGGCGACGGCGGCGGAGAGGGGATCGGCGGCGGCGGGGCTGGCGGCGGGGGCGGCGGCGGGTACGGCGGCTGAGCGGGCGGCAGTGGCGGCGGAGCCGACGGCGGCGACTCTGGCGGCGCGGCTGGCGGCGCGGCGGGGAGGTTTCCCAGCGCTGTACCGACGAGCGCGAGGAGCAGCGCTGCTAGGGGGAGGGGAGGAGGAGGGGGGAGGGGGGGTGGGGGTGAGGCGAGGGCTAGGCAACGGGGAGCCGAGGGCAGGGGTGGGCCAAAAGGTGATGCGCGGGTCTCTTGTCGCGGCGCGGCGTGGGTGCCCTATAGGGCGTGCCGCACGGAGAAGGGGGGGGGGGGGGGGGGAAGGGGGGCGCCCCCCGCGCGGGGCCCGGGGCGGCCCCCGACCCCACATTTCGCGGTGGGCGGCCCCCCCGTAGACCTGGACCTGGATCGGACCACCATTCTGGGAATCGTGAATCAAATCTGGGTTGGGCGGGCAAATTTTTGCGCTGGGCGGTCGCTCAACTGGCGGTCGCTTTCACAGCTCGGTTCTTCTCACACTCTGTCTAACACCCTTGTGTTTGTCGGGTCTCGGGTGTGCCTGCGTCCCCCGAGACCTAGCGCGGGTGGGTTGGAGAGGGGGCTCGCTGCGAGGAAGGGCTGTGTAAGAAGCCGAGACTTCTTGATGCACACACGAGATCTTCGCACACTCGGCGTGCGTTGACTTTTCTCTCTCTTCTTTTCTCTCTTCTTGCGTTCACATGTGAATGACTTGGGCCGGTTTGTGTTGTTTGGGGTACTTGTTGCAGATGTGTGATGGTGCGCGCGCGTCGCCCTCGTGAAATGCGACTGTGCGTCTCTTGTGGATGTGGTGGTCGGGGGCAGGAAGGAGAAGAACCGGGGGGAGGGACGTACGGCCCGGGGCGGACTGTAGTCCACGCTCGCCAGCAGCTCAGGTTGATCTCGCCCAGGTCACCGCCTCATAACCGGCGCTGGTATCTTGTGCCCGTTGACCGATCTGAGCGGGAGAGATTTTGCAATACCAAACAACTCAACACCCCTCATTTTTTGTGTGTTTTGTGTCCGCTGCAGGGCCGCGGCCTCTCCAGCGCTCAGAGCGCTCTCATACCGCGCGGGTACTCTGGGGCCAGGTGTTGCCGCGAGATGCTGCGGCGTGCGGGGAGCGCACCGCCAAAGAGACAACTTTGTTAATAAAAATCTCTCTCTCCCGCCAAACGCGCGCTCGAACGAGACACCTTCGGCGAAGGTCGGCGGCCGATAGGGGAAGAATTTTACAAGAAAACTCCCTCGCACGACACTGGGCACGGGACTGGCGCGCACTGGCACTAACACAGGTACACCTAGGGGAAGAAACTTTCGACCGCCTCGACTTTGGTCTTTGCGGCATGGGTCGGACGTTGTTTTTTCTCGTTCCGATTTTTATTCTCGAGCCGCGCACGCCTCGTCTGCTGAGTGAGAGAGACTCTCTTCTCTGTCTGCTGTGATCGTCCGCATAATTAATTGCGCATGAGCATGTGAGGGCATGACTCGCGCCATGCCAAAACGCCCCACCTACCTACTGTACCTATCCCCAGGCCGCGCAGCGAAGCGAAAAAAGACGTCTGTTGTAGGGCGGTCAAAACCGGACCTACCTACCTATTGCCTAGGGTGTCACCGGCGTCAGACCCCCTATCTGGCTAGGAGCCGGAACCCTCCCTCCGGGTCGGTCTTTCCACCATCAACCAATGCTCTGCGTCGTCCTCCTCCCTCCCGAGGAGTGGCCCGGCCGAGCCTCGGCGCCCACCTCGGTCGAACTGCGCTTTGTGCGCAGCGCCTCGGAGCTCGACGCCGCCGACGCGGCGGCCGCCGAGGGCATCGTGGCCGTGCCGGGCTGCGACATTGGGGCGCTGCGTGGGCTGCTCGCCGCGCTGCCGCGGTGCGCCTGGCTGCACTCCTTCTCGGCGGGTGTCGACGGCATCGCGCCGGTCCTGCGTGAGACGCCCGACACGTTGCGCGCCTCCAATGCGCGCGGCGCCTTCACGTCCTCGCTCGCAGAGTACGCGCTCGCGGCGGCGCTGCACTTCAACAAGCAGGTCCCGCGCTGCATGGCTAACCGCGCGGCCGGGCGGTGGGAGAGGTTCACGATGAATGTGCTCCGCGGCAAGACGCTGGGCCTGCTTGGCTACGGCTCGATCGCGAGGGCGACGGCGAAGCTAGCGGCGGCGTTTGGGATGCGCATCATCGCGCTGCGACGAAACGTCGGCGGCGAGGCGGGCGAGGTGGTGCCCGAGGCTACGTACGGCTACGACGACCGCGCCGCGTTTTTCGGCGCCCCGCCGGCTCGAGAGGTTGCGCCCCAGAGTGGCGCAGAGACGCCGTCTTCACGGCAGCGCGTGTGTGAACAGGCGCCGCCGACTTCATCGTCTGCTCGCTGCCCGCGACGGGCGAGACGCGCCACTTTGTGGGCGCGGCCTCCTAGACGGGGGGGGGCGCACCTCGCACCACTGGGGAGATATGGGGAGATGCGGGGAGATATGGGGAGACGGCGCACCTCGCACCTCGCGCAGATCAGACCACATCGCACGCCTCGCGTGCGGCTTCGACGGTTGTGCTGCGCCGCACGCACGCGCAGTCTACAGTCGGGGCGTGCAGCGAGGGCTGCGTCGGAGAGGGTCGGCGGCGCGTCGGGTAGGCGCGGCCGCCTTCGAGGCGATGAAGGAGTCGGCCGTCTTCATCTCGCTCGGCCGCGGCGACGTCGTCGACGAGACCGCTCTCGTCGCGGCGCTGTCGCGCGGCCGCATCTGCGGCGCCGCGCTCGACGTCTTTGAGCAGGCAAACCCGCTCACCCACCACGCGCACTGGGCCTTGCACGTTCAGTGCCGGGCCAGCTCCTGTCTCTAAGACGGAGAGTCGCGCGGGCTCCATTCGTCCGTCCGTCCGTCTGTGCTGCGCACGGCGTGGCGCGGGCGACGAGGCACACGCACGCGCGGACACACAAACACGGGGCGTCGTGTGGAGAACGCACCGCCACCACCGGGCATGCGCGCAGCAGTCAGAGGGGCAGCGGTGGCGACCCTCCCTCACAGCCGGAGCTGGGGATGCACGGAGTTGTGGACGGGCAGAGCTGCAAGTAGGAGCCGCTCCCGGCCGAGTCGCCGCTGTGGCGCTGCGAGCGGCTGCTGCTCACGGCGTGCAACCCTAGATGCTCGTTGAGATCCAGACCCAAGATTCAGACCAGCACTCGAGACGACACGTATTCGGCCTCAGCCCGTGGTCCGTGTATTCACGCGATGCTCCGAATACACGGCCCGGCACCCATCACGTTAGGCGCACAACGCCGACCTGACCAGCGACTACTTCGAGGCGGGTTGGGCAACCTTCGTCGCTAACGCGGAGGCGGCCGCGGCGGGCAGGCCGCTCCTCACACCGGTGGACAAGTCGGCGGGGTACTGACAGGCCCGTGCTGGTACTTTGAAACGGGTCTGTAGTTTGAAAACGGGTCTGCGGGCGGAGGGGCCCGGAGCGACGCCGATAGGACAAGAGCTGATGCGTCAGTGTTATTTTTGTTTGTGCTCTCTTTAAATGGCTTTTGGGGGCGCCCTTGTGCCTCTTGACCCAACATATAGAGGCCCAGACCACCCTTCTGACTCCGACTCGATCATGTGCTCTAATTTTACCTCTCTCGTTTCCAGCACTCGCTCTCGCAGGGAGCACTTGGAGCACTTGGGGTGCGCTTTTTTTTGCGCATTTTCTTCCTGCACCATTTGGCTGCGGCCGTCGGCAGAGCCCTGCGCCGAGCTCTGCAACCTCGCCATGACGACTACACTGCACAGAACAACCTGGCCGCCGCCGCCGCTGCCGCTGCCCCCTCCGCAGCACCCGCCGCTGCCGCCAACGTTCGAGCCGTCCGACTCGGGGACCGCGCTCTCCGTCTCTGTCATCTGCGCGCTTCTGCTGGCCGGACTGCTGTTGCGGCACTACATGGAGCAGCGGGAGTGGACAAGAGTCACAGAGACGGGTGCGTGCATGTTCCTTGGCGCCGCCTTCAACGTCGCCTTCTGGACCTTCTCGCGCCTCAAGAGCGGCGGCTCGGAGAACTGGCGCTTCTCCATCTCCATGTCGGAGAACATGCACGACGTCATCTACTTCGGCCTGCTGCCACCGATCATCTTCGAGGCTGGCTTCGTGATGCGCAAGCGCTCCTTCTTCGCCAACTTTGGCACCATCCTCCTCTACGCGGTGGTGGGCACCCTCATCTCCATCCTCTGCACCGGCGGACTCACCTACGCGCTCTCGCTGCATGGCTTCGTCACGCAGGACTTCTCCTTCTCGGAGGCGCTGCTGTTTGGCGCGCTCATCTCATCGACCGACCCCGTCGCCACCCTCTCCATACTCAAGAGCGTCAAGGCGCCACCTAGCTAGCTAGCGACCTGCCTGCGTTGGAGCTCACCGGCCAGGGGGCTCCTACACATAGAAGCATACGCACAGAAGCCTTGATCGCGTTCGCCCTTCCTCGGACCCAGTGCTGCCTCATGGCTGTCGTCGCGGTCTGTCCGCTCTCGACTGTCGGTGCGCGACCTTGAGCCCAGGGCTGTGTGTTTGTGTGTGAAGGCGCCGCCGCTCCTCTACGACCTCGTCTTCGGCGAGGCTGCGCTCAACGACGCGCTCTCGATTGTGGATCTTCGGCCCGCTGCTTCGGCGACGTGCCGAGCACGTGTGCGTGACCCTTGCGTGGCATATGTGCCATAGGTCCTGTTCAACATCTTCCGGCACCGGTGCGGCTCCGAGTGGGCGGGCAAGTCGCACCAGAAAGGGCCGCACGAAGGACCCGACCGCTGGTCCGGGACCCCTAGATGCGGGACAGATGCGGGACAGATGCGGGACAGATGCGGGGCAGATGCGGAGCAGATGCGGGACAGATGCGGAGCAGATGAGATGCGGAACAGATGACTCTCTAGAACGCGAGCCGCCGTGTGAGGCTCTGTGTGAGCAGCCGTTGCTTCCGCGACGCTGTCCTCATGCCCGGACCGCCCCTCGTGTGTTCATGCTCGGCACTCGTATACCTCTAGGCCCCTCCGCCACTCGCGCTGGCCTTACCAGCGCTGGCCCTACGAAGCGTGGCCTCCTGGGAAAGAGTGGCCTCCTGGCCGGACGTACCGCGAGCCTCACCACGGGCATACATTACTCGACGGCGTGCTCTCCGCCGAAGAGCTGCCCCCCGCCCCCGCCCCCGCCGCGCCGCCGCCTCCGCCTTGGTACCTACCGCTCGAAGGGACGATGAGACTCGCGTCAGAGCAGCTCGTCCAGATCCTGCCGCTCTCCCTGCTGATCGGAGTCAGCGCGGGCCTCCTCACCGCCCTGGCGACCAAGCGGCTCGGGATGCAGCACCAGTCGCGCGCGTACGCGGAGCTGTCCCTGCTGCTGGTCACCGCGCTGCTCACCTACACGCTCACCGACGAGGT